CAGAATAGGCAAATCTATAGAAACAGAAAGTAAAGTAGTGGCTGCCAGGCCTAGATAGAGGGGATAATGAGGAATGACTGCTTAATGGTACAGTTTCTTTTGGGTGTGATGAAAATGTCCTAAACTTAGCAGTAATGGTTGCACAACTCTGTGAATATACTAAAAAACCCACTGAACTGTACACTTTAAAGGGTGAATTTCATAGTATGTGAATTATAACTCAATAAAGCTGTTATTAATAAAAAACAACCTTATCTGATTTCAGGAAACTCTGGCTCCAGCTACATGGCTCATGATTCTGAGTAACACACTAAAAAGTCAAGCCTCTGAGATATTTATTCCGCCTAGAATGCCCTCCCCCACCTCCTACTCTTTCCCTGGCCAAATTCAACTTTTATTTTTAAAGATAGCCTGCTTAACCTTTAAAATTAACTGTGATGGATATCAACTACACTTGTTATGGTGATCATTTTGCAATATGTACAAAGAGGAAAATCATTAATTATACTGAACACCCAAAACTAATATAATTTTATATATGAATTATAGCTCAATTAAAATAATTATTAGTTTTAGAAAACCTAATATTTGTTCCCTTTTGTGTGAAGCTTTCCTTGACATCCTTACTCCTTCAGGCAGGAGTAACTGCTCTCTCAGCACTTAATATATAAATTACTAAAACATTTTTAAAGGTATCAGAGCACCCTATTTATGTCTGTTTCTCCCACTAGACCATGAGCCCATCTCATTAACTTCTGTATTCAGTCACTAGCATAGTGCCTTTGCTATTCATTTTTCAAAAGATGTTCAGTACTTCTCTTTTTAAAAAACAGTATTTGTACAAATATACATTTTATAAGTAATGTATAAAATGATACTGTCATAAATATTTATCTGGTTGAATCTTTTGCAATTCCAATGTTGATGCATGTAAACAGTTATCCTAGATAAGAATTAATTGGGCATTCTTTACTGCATTGCTAAGATAAATAAGTTGGGATCTTTCTATATGGAATGCAGAATTTTATACTGTGATTACTGATCATTTACATATGTACTGGGAATCAGATACGCAAGTCAAAACAGAACCTTTTACACAGATATGTGTGTTTTTTAATATACTTATTTACTCATTTACACACATTTTTCACGGTAATGTAATTAATGCAGGCAGGAAAATGTCTTTTGTTTTTATAAGGTCATCTAGTGAGCATTATCTTAAAACAGTCCTAGTTAGCCCTAGCTGGTTTGGCTCAGGGGATAGAGCACTGGCCTATGGACTGAAGGGTCCCAGGTTCGATTCCAGTCAAGTGCACATGCCCTGGTTGTGGGCTCGATACCTGGTGGGGGTATGCAGGAGGCAGCCAATCAATGATTCTCTCTCATCATTGATGTTTATATTTCTCTATCCCTCTCCCTTCCTCTCTAAAAATCAATAAAAAATATTTTTTAAAAACAGTCCTATTTAGAGCTTTTTAAGAAAAGTAATGATCTTTTCCTAAGATAGGAGCTGCAAATTCCAAAACTTATAAGGATCATCAACTAAAAAGCATCATCTAAATGGAGAGCATCACCTAAAAAACTTTGAGAACAAAATAGAGAGCCCAGAAATAAAACTACACCTGTGTGGTCAATTAATCTATGACAAAGAAGACAAATCACACAACAGGGTGTAGACAGTCTATTCAATAAATGGTGCTGTGAAAATTGGACAGATATATACAAATAACTAAAACTAAACTAGACCACTTTCTTATACCATAAACTCAAAGTAGATTAAATATTTAATTGTAAGACCAGAAAGCATAAAACTCCTAGAAGAAAAACACAGGCAGTAAAATTGCTAACATTTTTTCTTAGCAATATTTCTTCTGATATATCTTAAGTATGGGAAAGAAAATTTAAAATAGGACTACATCAAACTAGAAAAGACAAGCTACTGAATGGGAGAAGACAGCTGATAATAGGTTAATATCCAAAATTTGTAAAGAACTCATATAAGTCAATACACGCACACAAAACCACCAAATAATCCAATTAAAAAATGAGCAGAGGACCTAACTTCTACACAGCGCACACATAGATGGCCAACAGACATATGAAAAGATGTTCAACATCAATAATCATCAGAAAAATGCACATTAAAACCAGAATGAGATATCACCTCACATTTTACAGAATGGCTACCATCAATAAATCAATAAACAAGCGTTGGTGAGGATGTGAAGAAAAGTAAACCCTCACCCACTGTTGGTGGGACTGAACATTGGTGTCAGCTGCTGTGTAAAACAGTATGGAATTACCTCAAAAAATAAAAGAGAATTACATTATGATCCAGCAATTTCACTTCTGAGTATATATCCAAATAAATTAAAAACACTAATTTTAAAGAATGTATGCACCCTATGTTCATTGCAGTATTATTTACAATAGCCCAGATGTGGAAGCAACCCATAGATGAGGGGATAAAGAAGATGTGGTACATATATATTATTACATATGTACTTCATCTTCTTTACATAATATTACATAAAATATTACAGTCAATGAAAAGAATGAAATCTTACTATTTGTGATGACATGGATGAACCTAGAGGATATTATGCTAAGTGAAACAAGTCAGACAAACACAAATATGATATCATTTCACTTATATGTGGAATCTACAGAACAAAATAAACAAAACCTCAAGACTTATAGATTTATAAATAAAACACAGAACAAATTGAGGGTTGCCAGATGGAAGGGGAGTTGAGGGGCTGGGTAAAAAAAAAAAAAAAAGGTGGAAGAATTAAGAAGTACAATTTGTAATATTATAATAACTATAAATGGTACCAAGTAGATACTAAATTATTGGGGAAGTTGGCTCATAAACTATATAGTTATCTAACCACTATGCTATACACCTAAAACTATTATAAAATATACTGAATGTCAACTGAAATTAAAAAAATATATAAATAATATGTTAATACCTTTGGGCAAGAAACTAACAACATTGTGTCTCCACTAAGAAAACTGAGTGGTCAGGGAAAAGCATAGAAGATTTCCTTTTCACATAGAGTATTTTCTATATCTTTAAATTTCATATCAAGTACATTATTTATCTATATAATTTGCTTCTTGGCTCCAGATAACCATCACTATTTAGGAATGCAGGCCTGGTGTTGCCAGATCTGATTTTTTAAAGAAGTCATAAATAGGAAAATTCTGATTTTTATGTAAAACCCATAATTTTAAAATGTTGGCTTTATTCAGAATTTAACACATAGAGCAGGCCAAACAAAACACACCTGCAAGCCATATCTGGCTCATAGGCCAACCAGTTTACCATCTTTAATAAAAAATTTGATGTGTGGCTTATGGTTCCAAAACTATAAATATATTTAATGGAGGAAAAGTTCAAAAAGAAAAATCAGACTTGTAGATGAATCCATGCCTTATCCTGCCCACCATCTCTTTAGTCCCTATTGTCTTAACATTCTGGGGTCTTTTAAAAGGTTGTTAATATTTGACCAACTAAAATGCAAGTCAGTCAGGGTTAATCAAGAAATGTGCCCATTATTTTAACATCTGCTCTGTTTTAAAGAGTGAAATATGGGGTCAATTTCAAGTTTCAATTCTTCTAGCCAACTAAAAAGTATGTGAATTATTTCTAGCTGGCTGGAAAAATTCCCTCAACCAACTAAACAAATGATTATAAGGTTGAAAAGACCTGTTTTTTTCCTCTTATCATCAGGCAGTACACTGCTACTCAAAAGACAATATGGTGGCTATGATCAACATAGAGTTCTGAACCATCTCTGGGAACCCAGTCAAAATTCTGGGGGAAATCTGAAAGTCTCTTAAAAGTCCTGCCGAGATGCCATTTATCTTCTGAAACTAAGAGACCATATGTGGGTATAACCACTGGTCATCAGTGGAAGACTGTAGCTGTTGAATGCCCAGGACAACAAAACCAAAGCAAGTTAAAGAAGAACCAGTTTCAGTCCTAAGTCTAGCACTACAGGTGTACTCTTTCATCTTTGGTGTGCTTAAAATTCTCATCCCAATCTGTTAGAAGCTTCAAGGGATTTGACTGGTATTTTCATATGATTTCCCCATACTCAGTGCTAGCTCCAATCTTCCAAACAGTAGCCTTTTTACCACCAGCTGGTCCAACATTGGGCTTGACCCTTTACTCACTGACTGGTGGGGCCTCCCTCAATGGTGAGAATACACAACCCCAAGAAGGGGTGGCAGTGGGGCGGTAATCACTGACTCAAACTATCGGACTAATGGCAACTTTGCAGGACACAGGCTTTCCTTATGTAGCTTGTGGAAATGCTATGGCAGGTCACATTTTTTCCTTAAAGTTTTTTCATCCAGGTAGCAGGGCATAAAGATGTTGATTTAATATCATTCAACCATTTTGAGAAGTTGCCCATTTTGCCAAGTGACACATAAATAGCTCCACACTATATACCGCATTTGGAGAGAAAAAAAAAGTAACTATATGTTGAATCCCAGTCTTAAAAAAAAACAAACACCTATGATTATAGTGACACAGGAAATTAAGATCTGCAAAATATTCAAACCGCCAAGCTACATGTAACTCTCTTAGGTTGTAATCAAGGAAGCCATTTCATGGTAGGGTTCAATGGCCTACCAAGACTGATTAATTGTGAAATAAAAGCCAGGCATGTTCTTTGCAGAACAGTGCCAGAGTCCAATGTCTTCCCTGACTTGCAGTTTGATGTATGGACATAAGAGCTGATTTTCAGCAAGAAATAGCTGCTTAAAAATCAATAACCTGTACTCCCCCTATCAGCAATTTTTTGAATTTGAGACCTACTATACAACAATCTGCACACATCAGCATCCAGCAACTGCAAAGGGTTTGTTCTAAGGGGGGAGTGGAGGACCATAATTAACGGTTTCCTTTCTTTTCTGTAAATCTAAATATCAAATAAGATTGAAATACATCAGTTCTCAGCACATAAAGCTTGTTTTATTCTTACCTCAGCAGCTTGGGTCTCTTGATGCAGTAATGTAAGACCAGTCAAGTCTTCTAAGAAGGAATGTGAAGAATTAAACACCTTCTCTAGGAATTGAAATCCTTCTCGTTCATATTGATCAAGAACCTGTAAAACATTTACATTTTTTAAAGGGGGGCTGTAGGTCTTAAATGCATATTAAAAGATTTTTTACTTCTAATAAGCACTTGTCAAAAATGAGACAAAAACTACCCTTAAATATGGAGATAACCAATCTGTTGGGCAAAAAAATGGGAGGGTTTAATATTTATCATGTTTTTCAATTTAGATGACAATTTTTCTCAAAATAGGTTACATGCAAATTCACTAAAAGTTCTAGAAAAGTTGGGTTACTAATTTTAAAGTCTACTTTTTAGGAAAAAAATAGCAGGTAAGAGAAGAGCCAATAAAATATATATATATTATATATCTTTTTTTTTTTTTTTTTACAAGAATAAAGAGTAGGGAAGGGACAGAAGGATGGGAAATGGGACCTACTGGCTAGCCAAACATATTTAAAAAATAATTTTAAAATGTAAAACTGAATTTCACCAGGCATGTCACAAAAGAGGAGACCCAAATGGCCAATAAACTTATGAAAAGTTGCTTAGCATTACTAATGATTAGGGAAATAAAAACTAAAACTATAATATAATATTGTTTTTTAATTGTTTTTATCAATGTAATATTGTTTTATAGCTACCAGCAGGGCTAAAATGGAAAAGACAGAAAATACTGAGTACTGGCAAAGATTTGGAACAACCAGCATTCTCCTGGGAGTACAAAACAAGGCAACCACTTTCGAGGTTTAATACTTGTATGTGCCATGATAAAAAAAAAAAAAAAAAAAAAAAAAAAAAAAATCTACTCCTGGATACATACACCCAACAAAAAAATATGTACATATGTGCATCAGCAGACCCGATCAAAAGTGTCCATAGTGGCACTATTGATGACTAGAAGCCCGGTGCACAGATTTATGCACAGGTGCGGTCCCTCCGCCTGGCCTGCAGGGATTGGGCCAAAACTGGCTCTCTGACATCCCCTGAGGGGTTTCAGATCATAAGAGGGCTCGGGCTTGGCTAACAGACCCCACTGGTGCACGATTAGAGCTGGGGAGGGGTCGTGGGAGGGCTCTAGAGCATATCCAGCCTGTTTTGCCCAGTCCCAATTGGCTGGATCCCAGCAGCAAGCTAATCTACCGGTCTGAATGCCTGCCCCCTGCTGGTCAGTGCACATCATGCTACTGGTCGAACGATTGCACACTTAGCATATTAGGCTTTTATTATATAGGATAGTTCCCAACTAGAAACTACACAAGTGCCCACCAATAGAATGAGTGAGCAAACTGGATTATTCATGTAGCTGAATACTATATAGCAATGAAAACAAATACAATTACATGCAATAATATGGATAATTCTTACAAACATAATGTTAAACAAAAGGGAGAAGCAGTATGTACTGTATGATTACTTTTATATAGCACTTAAAAAAAAAACAAGCAAGATGAAATCTATGGTGTGAGAAATCAGGAATGGTTAACCATGAAAGATTGAAATTGAAAGGGAGTACAAGGGAGGGATTAGGGTGTGGTTAGTATCTGCTTTTCTTTTTTTATCTGGGTGCTGGTAACAAAGGTGTACTTTTTGTATTGTCCTTCAATTAAAAAGGTCAAAAGGTAAAAGGCCAGTAATCTTGACAGAACAACATAAGTATTTCAAAGCAATAAAAAAGACGATTATAATATGCTTAAAAATTCAATAATCACAGAAACTGTGAATTGCAGAAAGCAAACAGTGACTAGAATGCCTCAGAAAATCTCTCAGATTTCAGAAGAAATAAAGAGATGAACTGAAGAGATAGCAGGCACTGAAGATAAAGGCAATAAATTACACATAAATAGAAAGGTTACAGAAGCAATATAGCACACATACAAAAAAATGATAGCTTCTCCATTCAGAAGTTAAAATGGTATATGTTGGAAGTGGCCCATTGCCTTCACTAGCAGAGAGGTGTGGACAAGGAACCCGGAAGGCTGGTCAACCTTGAAGCTCTGAAAGGTCAGAAACAACCACCAACAGTTTAGTTGAGATAATGGTAGCTGAGGAAACTTCCACCTTCTAGTTTTATGTAAATTCTTGCTGATTGGCTATTATTGGAATTGCCTGCCCAAAGGCTATTGGTGTATCCCATAGTCTTAATAAAAGGGATAGCAAGGCCAGAGTGGAGTGAAATCCTTCCCCTGGAGTTGGGCTTCTGCTTGGCCCCCAATATTCCCAAATTTATAGTCTCTTCCATTTGCATGAAGCCTCCTCTAAAGCCCAAACCCTGAACCCTGAACCATGTGTGATGTGGGGGGGAGGGGTCACTCACAACTGGCAGCCCAACATAGGGCACTCGCAGGTAAACCCTTCAATCTAGCAATTCCAGTTCAGATTGTTCAAATATTTTTTTAAATGCTTTTTTTTTTTTGAGGGTTTGAGAATTGTGGTTTTCCTTTTTTATAGTATTCTTTAGTATTCAATTATCTTTCACTTTACAAAGTGAACATTTAAAGAAAATCTGATGATAGGAATGTTGAGTCTGAAGCAGCATGCCCACACTATTTTTGTTGTGCCTAGCTTGATGCACAAAGACTGATGTGTAAGAATGATCACCACAACACAATGTGAAGCAACAAAAGATGAGAATCAACTACCCTTCTATAGGGAACTGCTGAACTAAATCAAGGTGTATTTACAATCAAGGACATAATCTGGATCCATCAAAAGAATGGGGCAGTTCTATATACTAAATGTAAGCTGTAATTGAAAAAAAAAAAAAAAAAAAAAAAAAAAAAAGATTACTGTTCCCTTTCACCCAAGAAAGAATTAGGCAGTTCCAATAAGTACTGATATAAACTAATTTCCAAGGTACAGAATATATTAAAAATGCCTACACTATGGGTCGAAGTATTAAAGTTTTAAAAATAAAGTGGATCTGTTTTTGGTTATTTTCCTCCAAAGCTCTATATTAAAACCAAATGCCCAGTATCATGGTATTAGGAGGTAGGGTCTTTGGAAGTTAATTATAATAGGTCATGAGGGTGGTGCTCTCATGAATGGGATTAGTGTCTCTATCAAAGAGATCCTCAAAGTGCTCTATTTCCCCTTCTGCCATAAGAGGATACTGCAAGAAGCTTTCTATGACCCAGGAAGCAGGCCCAAAAACAGATCCAGAGACAGAGTATCTTTCAGGCCATCAAACCTCAGAGAATATGTAGGAAAGGATGGGGGTAAGGGAGAGAAATTAACAAAAGGACTTGTATGCATGCATATAAGCCTTACCAATGGACATAGACAACAGGGGGTCAGGGCATGAGTGGGGGGGGGAGGGAGGGGGGGAAACTTGGGGGGTAATGGGGAGATTAGGACACATATGTAATAACTTAATCAAGAAAATAAGATTAAAAAGAACAAGCATTCAGTCCATAAAAAAATAATAAATAAAAGAGGAGAGAGGAAGAGAAGGAAATTTACATCTGCATATGCTTGTTTATGCATATATCATCTCTGAGAGAATATACACCCATAACTAGTATCAAGTGGTTGCCTCTGTATATTCTTTTACACAACTTGAGTTTTTAAACCAAGTGCATGTATTACTTGTTAAAATAAAATTAAAATCTTAGTTTAGTATCCCCGTCAAACCCCAACCCCAGTAGTGGTGGAGAAGTCTAGGAAGAAAAGAAAGAACTCTAAAGTCCTGATGAAGTTGGAGCTAGAAAAGAGGGGCAGTCCTCTCTCAGCCACAGGTAGCACAGTAGCTGCAGTGATAATTAGGATCTGAACAGCAGGCAACAAAACAAAATCATCTGCTATCACAGAGAAGGACGGAGTAGGCCATGGAGCTTGAGGAGAGTGGTAATGACCTGGGACAGCTGAGTAGGGAATGTGAGAAAGGAAGCTGATCACCACCACTGAGAGAGTTCTGAGCAATCTGAGGCCCCTGCCCAGGACAGAAAATATAAGCTTTCAAAGAAAGGTGGTTAAAGACCCATCTAAACTTGGGGGCTCAAAGGATAAGGGTGAAAAAGAGAAAAGTCAAAGAAATTGAGGGGCTGGTGAATACCAAGAAGGTTGGTAAGAAAAGACCTGCAAGAAGGAGGGAACAGTTAGACTAGGATCCCAAAGGGATGGAGGACTAGGGGGTGGCTGTGATGTCTCAGGGTATATACAAAATAGTCTTTGGCTGATTAACTGCAGTAAACTAATTTAACAACCGATTGCTTGGATAAAAAGGCACTTAATAACTGAATCTCTCAGTAATAAGATTTCTTGCAAACTGCACTGTCATCTCAGGAAAAATGTGCATGGAAATTAAATGATCTTGTTTGAAATGATAAATGCTGTGTTTAGTGGTCATTTATTCTAAGTGAACCACTAAGCTCATGAAAATAGCTACTTGGTGCCAGGCTTCCAGTAAGGCAAAAGAAGAAATTAGTTTGAAAAATGGACCAAAAATTTGAAAAAATATTGAAATAATTCCAGAGATGAGAATGTGTTAGACTTCATTAAACTTTCAGTTTTTAAGCCTATGTTTCCACAGGTAATTTTGTGGTGCTACAAATCTGGACTGTGGAAAAACTAACAGCAAGGACAGAATGAGCAAAGGCCTTCCCCATAATCGGGATGTACAGAAAGTTTAATGCTGAAACATTATTAATAGCTCTGCTTGAAAAATATGTGGAAAAACATAATCCTCTAGGGGCATATTTAATCAGGCAAGGGTTTTCCAGTATTCCCTTTATGTTCTGGGAAGTTAATCTGTTATGAGTATAAGCAGCTTATAAAAGATACCATGATTCCCCCTCCCATTCACACCCCAAACAGCTTAACCATCTTAAAGGGGAAAACATGTGTTTTACATTATCCAAAAACAAAAAGCAAGGTACTATAATAATGAATTTGAGCACTGCAATAACCTGTCAATCTACATAAAATGTATTACACCTCTTAAGTGAATTACATTCTAGTAATACAAGGTCCTGAGAAATGCACATATTATATTTTGGTCGAATATAAATATTCCAAGGGTTCTGGGAGAGTTTGCTAAGTAGAGAAATA